GTCGGTCTGTGTAACCGTTCTGTTATCGCTCTATTGTAGACGTATGAGAGTTGAAACCATGATACATAAAAGAGACTGCGGGCGTGGCATCATTGGTGTAATTGATGTTACTACTTTGATTTTATGGTGAACTTCTAAAATGTGTTTGGAGCGAAACCGGTGGCGAGGATCCAGAGAGCATAATTGATGCAAGGAAGTGTACGTGTGGGACGTTTAATGGATCGCAATCTCAAGAGCACCTTACAATATCAGTTAATATTTTTATGCATAAACAACCAAGGAATATAAACTAAAGGGAGTCATTTATATAAGGCTTTAACTCTAAACCTTAACTTGTCCACCAAGCCAAGATAAATATAAAACAATTGATAATAATAATCAATGCTAATAATAATAATAATAATAATAATAATAATAATAATAATAATAATAATAATAATAATATAATACCAATATTAATAATACTAATCTACACCATTCTCCTCCGGTTCGGAAGGTTTCGCCCTCAAAGCCGATGCGCTCTCGTGGTCGCCATGTGGTGTCGAACCCATTGTAGGAAACTCTCGTCGTTTCTCTCGGTCGAACACGAAAGTTGAATGCCACCCAACCAGTTCAACACTCTCTTGATTTTCATCAGACATGGATATGACTATTGTCGTCTCACCATCATCATCAACAAAAACAACAGCAATAATACCAAGACTCTTGGGCACAACCAAAAGCCAACAAATCTACCTTCAGGATCAAATCTCACACAAAAAATGTCATACCACATATCACATGAATCACAAGCAATGGATGTATCAATATCTGAATATACATCAATTGACACCGATCCACTACAAATTTTGCAGCCATCTCCATCCATGCACAAAACTGCATTCTCATCGATTCCCATGTCCCTGCAAAGATTTTTCTCCATCACCGGAGGCTCTTCATCAAAGATAAGTGGACAGTCGTACAATGGCCCGTCAACTTTCTCTCCATCGAATTCGGGGATGTCAACATGAACGGGCCCTCCCATCGACCATATTCGTGATCAAATTCCCTCTGCAAAGGCCAAAGTCTTCGGCTCCTTGACAAGCCCAAACAATGCGCCCAAAATCCCAACCGTATCGCTGCCAGTCGAACCCCGCGAAGCGGCACATCACGTTCTAGTCCCTAATCACGTCGGGCACGATATCTGCTGGTGAAGGCAGCATCCTTGTGTTTGACTCTGTCGTCGCGTTGATCACCGCCGTCCACGAAGACCGGGTCTGTCGCTGCATGTCACGGCTGTCGTATGTAGCGTAAGGGTCAGCCTGGACGTGAAGAGGTTATTAATCGTCGAAGGGGTTCACCTCTGAGATTGTCTCATCGCCGTCTTCGTCGCCATACGATGTGGAGATCTCCGGCGGAGCCCCCCGCATAGACCACGACCTCCACGTCCGTCGTTACATCCCCCGCTTACGCCACTATTGTCGGTGTCATGATACGTTTGTTTGTCCTAAACCATGGTATGGAGAGTTAGTCGTGTCCTCGACCTCCGCGGACAAATCTGCAATCTGAATACCCATCGTCTTGAGCCGGCAGCCAAACACCTCGATCTGGCAGCTCAGCATGTATACAACGTCGTCACGCCTGTCGTCTGCAGCATCGTGAATCGTGTTGACTTCTTATACCAACTGATGTAACGCAGCGTAAATGAAAGGGGAAGAAGATATAAAATCTCAAATCATATACTTTTATTTCGATAGGGGAAAACGACGGGCAATGATTGCCATGGGTACGACTTCGATGTCGATGTTGGTGTTATATACTTAAGCTTTGCTTTAGTGGATATTACACTTGTTATTCCTT